ATATAATTTCGATGTGTTTATCTTCAAGATTTTGTTGTTGATGATGACTTTACATGTGAATCTGACCCTTTTTTGTAGATTGTATTAATATGTAATAATGTAGACACGATTCCATTATTGTGGACTCAAAGATTATTTTAATATAGGAGATAATCACCCTTGTAATGGAATCTTTTATATATTGCTGTTTTAAATACATACAAATACATATGTATACGTACATATACACACATAATAGTTACTTTTAGATTCTGCACGACGAGAACGTGGACTGCCATTTTAAGGCAATGTGACGTCACTGCCAGTGCCTTCCTTAAAAGGACGTCACATTGCCTTTAAAGGGCAGTCCACGTTCTCGTCGTGCAGAATCTAAAAGTCCCTATTAAACATACATACACTACCGTCATGTGCTTCGTCATATGCGTCATTGTCCTTAAATTCTTTGTCCTGTGGCAGCGTTATTTACAAACGACTAACTAACTATTAACAAAAGATATAGCGCTTATATGTAGGTATAGTAGAGCTACAATCTGAATTTTCTTGATCAAGATTAAAAGTAGGCCTACATGGCGAGTTGAAAGTGTATTTTAAATTTTCTGTAGAATCTGATTTAATGTGATATTTCCCCTTTTTTTGGTGGTGCTGAACATGAATCCACGTGTTGCCATTTTTCTATGACAAATTAAAATCAATAAAACAAATTTCCATACCATGCACAAAAAAAGCAAATAAATGTTTTATGATTCCTTGGACTTGAGGTGTATCGAACACTATATAATTTCAATAGGATTTTGTATAAATACCCAAATGATTAGAACAAAGGAACAACTTTTTAAAATCTATTTAATGAATGAAAATTTATTTGTATTATACAAGTATCAAGTACATGAAATTGCACAAATGAAAAGAAGTTTAAAACCTTTCTTTGATCTGTTTCTTAAAATCATATTTTTCATTAATTTGTTTTTCTTCCACCTGCATATAAACATCAGATATTTCTAAATATTTCATCTCACACATATATGAGAAAGAAAAAAAATAATGTTTTTCAGTTGATGTGAAATATGATTATTTCAGAGGACTCATGTTAGAAGAGCTATCATAATGGAATCACTCATTATTTGCATTACATTAAGATATTACAACAAACTGTACGATAATCATGATTTAAGATAATTATAAAATCAATAATGCTACCCCAAAATTCTAACATGACAAGCATTTATCCCTCTTCTTCAAATAATTATCTATATTGTTTCTTAAAGAGATATAGTCAAAGAATGGACAATATGAGATATAAATCATGACGCGTTTTCACAAGAAATGATCCCAGTGAAGGAATGTAAGAAAAGAAAAGTGAATATGCGTTAAAAACGTGGACAGCAACAAATAAAAGAGCAATTAACAAAGATGAAATTAAATCATATTTCAATAGATAGATTTTGTGTTGTATACCAATATGGAAAGATTTATTTAGCAATAATGAGTAACAAATTATTTGGGAATAAAACCCAACAAATCATGCTTTATTTTCAAATGTTACACAGTGTGTTTAAATACTGCGCCTTCCATCAATCTTGCCTACAATAACGAATAATCAAAGAAATATTTCTACGGATGAACTAGAGCATATATGACGTACATAACTTGGCAATCTTAGAAATACTAACTTAATTTCCTATAAACATAATAATAATAACAATAATAATTATAATACAAAAACGATTAAGATGAAAACAACAATGATAATAATATATCTGTAAAGCGCTTAGACGCATCGTCGGATCGATGTATAATTGAGCGCTATATAAACACGGAATATTATTATTATTATTATTAATAACTCAGCCTTTTACTAGTAACTAATTACTTGCGTTTAAATGCGAACTATAAAATAATTTTCACACATGATATGATAAATGACATAAGGAAATCCACTTCAGTAACAACAAAATGAATGGCACGTAGGGATTAGAAGAAAAAAAAGTGTGCCAAAGAAAGGCTGTTACGCATACTTTGTAATCTGAGTGGATGGTCTAGAGATTTGTGACTAAAGTTGTCATATTTTGTTGTTGTTAGTATGTTTTAGGCTGTTGAACAAGGCTTAAAGCCCCAGTGCACTACTAGTAGCTACTTGCTCCCTCTACATATACATCGGTTCATGTTGGTCCCCCATGATCCTCTTTTTCTTTCATGTTAATTTAGAGCTGAGTTAATGAGATGGCCACCTGTCATAGTGACCTCACTGGCTCGCTGGGTGGTCTAATCCCTTCTGGCTGTACTTGTACAGCCGGCCTTTAAGCCAAGCTGACAAGTGAAATTATCAATTTTTATCTCTTTTTGAAAATTTCCTTTTTTCCATTTCTAAATTTGTACTACAATTTAAAAGATAAAAGGAAACTTCTATTACTGCATTGTCCAATGTAAAATAAGGCAAGGTTTGTGGATATATGGAATATTAAAATTCATGATATTATTATCAGCCAAAAGTCACAGCATTCTCATAACCTAAACAAACATATCTGTTTTCCACAACATATTTTTGTGTTTTAACAAAATGTTATATTAAAGGTAATACAAAGTTTTGGTATGGGGTCATGAATTTGGTTCAAATGAACATAATGGAAGCAAATGCGATCCTACAATATTAACTGATCGTTGTCGCGGTTGAAAAAGAATCTAAAGTTTTGAAATTATAAGTAATAAACTCTTTATGTTGTATAGCTCCCTCTCAAGGTCAAGACATTAATTAAGCAATAAAACAATGTTTCTTGACTAAAATCGACCGATTAGCTATTCCCGTTTGGAAATTATATATCACAACTACATATTCTGAGATTGTCATGGTCGCAGCTAACATTGTACGGCCGTATAGGCGCTATTTGAAATTTATCAAAATTTACCGGGAGCACCGGTAAATTTTTATATTCAATTTTTCTCGAAAGCAGAAGTGTTTCAGGGACTAATTTTTCTAGTGCTTATAATACATCCACAGGGGCATCCAAATATATAAAAATGGTAAAGAATCACTATTTACCCAATTTTCAAAATTTCCCAAAACTTTGTATTACCTTTAACAAATTGTCAAATCAAGTCTTCGTATGCAGCCAATTCATAGCCTAAATATAAATATTTGCTTATATAATTAAACAGAAGCGTTTTTACATGATCTCTACAGTAATAAGAATGTTCTCTTTATGGGTACAATACTCCCATTTTATAGGATAAGTATACATGATTAATATATTTGGAAAAACTTTATCTCAAGTAATAACTTCACCACTACAACAGAAAAGCAAAGTGTGATAAATTTTCAAAAATAAAATAGATTATGTGATTCTACTTTCAAAATCACTAAATGGGGCCTGTCACCACGAAATGAGTCCAGTTGGTCAAAAATTTTATTCTTGTTTTTAAGTATTATATGAATCTACATTAAGTAAGCTTTAAATTAAGGGTTCACACATTAAAATTGATAAATTATATCCAGAAATATGAACAAAAACCTAATTGGACTTTATAAACAATGGGATTACCCAGTTTTGAGATAATTAGGTGTAAAGTTAATGATGCGTAACATAGCCTATATTATTTGCCAAAAAATGTTAGGAGATATTTTCGTGACCTAAGCTCTGGGGACATAAACTACAAGACATTAATAAGTCGATTTTTGGAAAAATCTTAAATGTGGTAGGTGGGTCAATTTTCAGTACATACACACTATACATCGCTATTACTACGATTGAGCCTAATGCGACACTGGACTCATTTCGTGGTGACTGGCCCCAAATGATAAACCTTTTCAGCATCAGATTCTTATGTTAAGTATCAGTCAATCAGTCAATTGAAGTCCAGCAAACACAAAAATGTACTCATCCAATATCACTACTCTCGTAGACAGTGCAAGGAGAAAGAGCAAATTATATATTTTTGTGAAATTATAGAAGAAGCAAAACTTCACATCTAATCAAATGACTATTTGAGGTGACTAACCAATGCGTTGAATGAGTCAAAACTACATATTATGAAATATATCTGGAAGTTGATGGTAAAAATGTGAAAGAAAAAAGGAAAAGGAAGATCTACAAAATGTAAGGAGTAGCCAAACGTTCAGTCATTTGTTACTGAGATTGATGCTTTTTATGTAGCAGGCCTACTCCGTTTAAACAATTATAAATGGTTGAAGGGCCTCCTTGGGTAATATCTAGACCTAGACCTAAACCGTACCTGGTACCTGTACGTGTTTCAGCCATGACGAGAGGCAAATCCAGGATTCTCTGACCGTCATATTTGGTTTGGTTGAGGGGGGATGGGGTAAGGAACATGCCCCCTGTCCCCCCTTACAAACACCGCCAGTGAATCTACTTGAAAGAAATCACTATTGATAGCAATGATGCAGGTGATCGTGAGGCTGGATATATATCTGAGTCAAGAGGCCATGGACAAATATTTCTTGGCATACTGTTGGTTTTGTATTCTAATATGACCTTATCCCAGGCCAAGGCTATATAAGTGAACGAACCCTTAAAGGTACTGTGTCCAACTTGCAGGCCCAAAAAATGAAAAGGTTAACTTCCAACGCCATTTGATAGATAATACTGATTTAGAACTTCCCTCAAAACGAAAGGGCTTGAAATGTCTCTTTGTGAGAAAATAACGACCGGCAGTTGTCGATCGAATGTAGGGATTGCAGTCCTTTTATTAAATAGTCTGATTTTCAGACTCTTGTACCGAATGGTCGTACGTTTTGTGCTGCCCAAATATTCGGTCAGTTTAATTTTGGCCAGTACAAGAAGTCGGTAATGGGTGTAGACAAATGCTTATGTACCCTTTACAGCTCATTTTATGTATGTTATTACCAAAGAAAAAAAAGAAGTTAGTCAGTCACTAAATAGTGACTGTCAGTGAAGTCTAGAATGTTAACGGGTTTCCTTACATAATTTGAATACAAGGACATTGCTAACGTTTAAATTTTTACAGATTCTACGTGACATATTCATAATTTCTGAAAAGTTCTACATAATTAAATGTTGGCTGCAAAAGGGATATACTACTAGACTCAGATACAAAATCAATCAAGTAAAAATCTTTTCGAGTTTGTGACAATCGTTTGACACCAACATCAAACTGCCAGTATAAAATTAAATGCCATAGCATGTCAGGCTGATTTTCGTTTTTGTTAAATAAACAAATTACATATTTGTATACATGTGCTCAAAGTATATAACATATCTGACTGTACGAGAAAGAGGCTCCCATGCCCATCTACAAAATAAAGTTACCACTGGAGGAAATTATACACATTTAAATCGACTTTACCAATATCTGCTCTTATAAGTCGACACGCCTTTCCATCGCGATACGCCTCCTGCGATTTTCGGCCTTTATTTTATAGAGAATTATACTGACTTTCTCCGCAACATTCTTGCAACCCCTCACAGCAAACACCCTGGACCCATTCGGACCGTCGAACTGCAGAATGGCAAGTACCTCATCTTCTGAAATCACATTGGACGGGTAACCACGGTCCTTGAACTCAGCTTGGATGCACTGTCTCACGTGAGATAATTCGAGTGGGAAGAAGGGTATAAAATGGCTGACGAGATGAGAATCGATGATTCGGGCCTTCTTAAAACCAGCATCTAAAATATAGAATGTAGAAAAGGATGAAGAGATCCTGCATATCCATTACATTTTTTTGACAATTGGTGCTGAAAATAACTGTATGAAAGGCCCATTAGTGGTAAATTGACAAGGTGAAAATGAAGGAGAGAGAAATACGGAAAATAACAATAATAATAATAAGGATAGGCATTTCTATGGCGTCGTCTATCTAGATAATTCTTATCCGAGGTGCATAAATTATTACCCCGGCTTTAGCCTAGCTGCCATTACAGCGCTCTAGTATTTCAAGGAATTAATTCCTGCGAGGCAAAATAATCCCAAAACAAATATCTTTGATTCGGCCTATTTTTTGTTGTTGTAAGCTGTATCTCCTCCAACATAACATTTATTTCTGTAAAGTGCTTATTATAAAAGGTTTTCTTTTTTAGTGCTCGTGCACTTCAAGTGGATTTGGTGCCTTTAAAATCGTAGACGTATGGTTATTATTATTAAAATGAACATCATGCCTTGTACAGAGATGAGTATCATCAGGTTGTGTAGATGCTATCACCATTTCATATTCATAAAGTATTTGATTGAATTGAAACAATTCACAAAAGAAGCCAGGTTTACATGAAGTTTGCAATGTGGACTTGTTATGGATGAGATTTTGAATAGTAGACTATAAAATAAGAAAATATTAGGAAAATTACTAACCAGATTTACCACTGACTTCGTTCGAGATGATTCGCTCCATATCAACCGATCTTATGTCTTCCCTCGCTATTCCCTTCTCATATGATTCAAACATATACTTGTTGATGGCTTGTGCAGCTAGTTTACTGTTTTTAAGATAGAACGACAGTAATATGGCGAGAGTGAGACAGAAGTATGATACTTCTGACTTCTTGACTATCATCAGCCCATCAGTACTAGTGTGAAGGAGGGATTACAGCACACTGCAAGGTCACTGGACAGGTGGTTATCTCAACAACTCTACGTTTCAAATTTATTATGATACAGAGCTCAGTGATGTCATGTTGGACCTTTGAAGCAAAAACGGCTGTTATCCAATCACATGTTGTAAAAACAAAAGCCATATTAAATAGTTTAATAATTCATCTAAACGAGCCTCAATTCACTGACATCACAATCTATTAAACATTTTGTGTTTTGAATGTGTCTTTTCATGCCACTATGTTTTGCTAAATGTACCTTATTGAAGTAAGGTGTGTGTCTTTTCATGCCACTATGTCTTGCTAAATCTACCATACTGTAGTAAGATGTGTCTTTTCATGACACTATGTCTTGCTAAATCTACCTTACTGAATAAAGTAAGGTGTATGTCTTTTAATGCCACCGTGTCTTGCTTGATCTACCTTATTGAATACAATAAAACACAGTCAAACCTGCTTTAGTGACCACCTGTCTACAAAGACCACCTGTCTACAAGGACCACATTTTTTGTTTCCTTTGAAAATGGTTTCTCATTGAAACATGTACTAAAGGAACCTGTCCACAAAGACCACCTGTCTACGAAGACCACTTTTTGTGTTCCCCTTGGGCGGTCGCTGTAGACAGGTTTGACTGTACAATAAAGTCATTTCTATAGCGCCCTTACAAAAACTAACTGTTGTTTCACAGCGCTTTACATAAAAGTTATCAAAGAATCTATTGAATAAGGTGTATGTCTTCCCATGCAACTATGCAGGCGCGTACGCAGGGGGGAGGGGGGGGGGTTGAACCCCCTCCTCCCCCCGCTTATTTAGCGGCTGGCTGAGTCGTTGCGAAATTTTTGGGATCCAAAAAAAAATGTCCTCGTATAGGTCTAGGATACGCATAAATCGCGAAGTGTTCACGAAAGTCGTCCACCAAATTTGTCGTGCCAAAATGTTGAACATTTTGAATATTGTGCCACGTATTTCAAGCCTTGTCCCGCATTGGCCCTCGTCCTCCGGCATGTTCCACGAACGCTTCCCGTTGTGGCAAGAACGTGGCACGAAACAATGCGCAAACCATGCGCGAATCAAAATCGTGCAAGTGTCAGAGTGCCTCATGTCCTGCTAAATCTGCCTTAAAGTAAAGGAGATGTGTGTCTTTTCATGCCACATGTCTTGCTAAATCTACCTTACTGACCTTCTGAATATAACGATGACTTTCCTATAATCGACCCCATCTACTTTAGTATGGTGATCTAAGAAGCTCCTCATATTGTCTAGTAAGCCAGGGGGCATGTTCTCTACCTCATCAAATATGAAGAGATGATTATAACATTCAGAAACCTTGGATTTGATGAATGAAACCAGCTTCTCCTGTAGAGAGACAGAGAGAGAGAGAGAGAGAGAGAGAGAGACAGAGAGAGAGAGACAGAGAGAGAGAAAAAAAAGAGAGAGCAAATAGAAACAGAAATAGAAATGAATGTAATCGGTTGTGAACACTGCTTGAGTTCTTAATTTCAAATCCTGACTCATCAATCTACTCGGCATGCCTATAGTAAGAGGCCACCCATTGAGTAGCCCTTTGACAAGGCCTCGTGACTCTGGCTAAGCGGCTGAGATGAGTCTAGTTACCCGGGGTGAACGCGCGACCGAGTGACGACCGTCACGAGGCCTTTTGCAATGTAGTTATCACTGCTCCGCATGAATTATTCATAGATACATATTAGCATGCCAATACGCCAACTTTGGATTTATTGACCCATCAGAATGGCGATCTCCCAGTTGGCTTCGTTCGTGATTTGTTCCATGTAGATGTCAGTGGTTTTAGCACGTACGTAATAGTTCATGTTTTTGAATGTTTTTATATTGATGTAAACTTGTATTTTTAGTCTTCGGACTTGTTGACAAGTCATGAATAAAACCTTATTTGAACCTTGAACTATAGTAGGCATGTAGGTCCATGTTCGCACTACGTAGAGTTTACTGTGTGTGTGTGTGTGTGTGATACTATATGCTGACGTCGTGCGAGAATAACTTCGCTGATTGGACGCTCCCTTTTCGGAAGCGAATTCCAGTCGGAAACAAAGGTTAACATAACAAATCCAAACCAGATTGATAAAGGCTACTTGTCTGGGCAATTCGCACTGGCGTTCACTCAGGTTTTCGCGATTAGTCCCTTTTTAGTCGCTCTGCGTCTATCAGACATGTGGCCTTGTTTAAAGGCTACCTATTGAGGGGCACATGGGAGGGTGTTAGGGATACAGTGCGTCCCAGAAAAAACGAAACCGAGAATTATCGAGCATCACTTAAAACAAACAGAACTTTGTTATTCCTTGCTCATTTTTCCTGATTGAGGTGTCATATGAAAGGGCAGAAACTGAACATTCTAGAAATGTGATTTTCTCTTTGAAATTCAGATACCGCCTGCCAAACGACTTTTTGGTTTCCTCTCTTCAAATTGTTTTTAATCATTCATGCGTGAAATATGCATCATATGAGTTGCGTCAAATAAAAGATGAGGATCTAAGCTTTACAAATGTGTGTCATTAATTAATTAAAATTGTGATTAAGTTATGATAAAATATCGATAATTCTCGGTTTCGTTTTTTCTGGGACGCTTTTTTATTGGTCATCCTGCCATGGGCAGTTTTTCATGAAACCTTCATAAGTAGAAGTTCCCTGACGTCCCATGGAATCGCATGTGTTGTAGTTAATCCGAGTTACAATTAAATATCGTTGAACTTGTACTTATGATGGTTTCGTGAAACGATAATACCGCACACACAAACAACTTTGAAAGATGATGAACTTGTGCAATTATCCATAACTTTAAATCTAAAATATCAACAAGTTTTTCGCTTATTGTTTGTGATGTCATACAGTAGCTGTGAATATTACTTCTACTAGTACTACGATGACATCAAGTGTTGCCCTTGATGGCAATTCGTTAATTCGCATGAGGCCTGTGTGGATGTTTTTCATCGAATGATGCGATATAGATCAATCGATTGTGCAGTTTCTTCTTACAGTGATATAATATAACCAAGTACCTTCTGTTGATAAAGATGTTTATGATCTTCATGATGAGGATAGTCCAGTGTAGACATCCTGACAGTTACACATCCGCTTTTCATTCCGTTTGTGTAAAGATTTTCAACCACGAGACGACTGATGTGGTTCTTACCGGTTCCAGCTGGTCCGTGTAGGGATAGAACCAATGGCTTTGGTGGATTAGGATTGGTCACATGACCATCTATAGCACCAAGGACGGTCATGTAGGCCAAGGGCTGGCCAAACAAATAGTCCTCAAAAGCATCGGCAAGAGCTGAAAGAATAAGTTACTATAGACATGTGAACTACATGTACCGATACTACATTCATTCAAATATGGGATGATTCTCACCAAATTTGCTGTACCTACCTTTGCAAAATATGGGATGCTAATATACAACAACAATTAACAACAGCAATAATAATAATAATAATAATAATGATGATGCTGAAAATTATTATGATAGTAATAGTACTACTACAACTATCACTACTAGTAATAAAACTAATTGTTAATGATGCTGATGATGATCATGTTGTTGATGGTGATGATGATCATGCTGTTGATGGTGATGATGATGGTGTTGATGATGATGATGCTGTTCGTGTTGATATTTACATCCGTGGTTAGCTAGCTATGTCACAAAAACCTGGGACACAAGGAAATATCTGTAAAGAGCTTACGGATGTTGTCAATGTATTAAAGGGAGTGGATCGCCAGTTTCCATGTGCAGAAGGCCATAATTCGCTGACACCAGACTTGGTGGAAATACCATTAACGGGGGTACAATTTTGCACACAGCAAACCCATAGTCCAGTCAAGAATTACCCCCCAATCTCTGGGAGAGCTCGAGAGTCTTCGGCAAATCAAAGCATTACATAAGGTCCAATGGTCATAAAACTTAAGGCTAACCCTGGTGATTGACAACACCTGTTATTGGGTAAACACCCGAACGGTGTCGAATTCCCCATGAGAGCCGACTACTCAGTGACTTTAAGCAATACATTTACCCATATTATGATTTTTTTTTAAAATCATTATTATTATTACTATTATCATTACTATAACTATTATCATTATTATTATTACAATGATATCGCTTTCAGAAGTCCTGAAAGGCGGTGTATCCCTTATGCAGCCAGCATCAAATTATGTAGAACTTTGCAGGAATTATCAATACGTCACGTCCTATCTGTGAAATTTAAACGTTAGCAGTGTCTTAGTTTTCAAATTATGCATGGCCGGAAACCTGTTTACTTTCTAGACTTCACTGTCAGACACTATTGAGTGATTGACTGACTTTTTTTTTTTTCTTTGGTGATACATGAAATTCGCTGTAAAGGGTACATGAGCATGTATATGTCCACATCAATAACCAACTTCTTGTAATGGCCAAAATTAAGCTGATTGAATCTTTGCGCAGCACAAAACATACGACCATTCGGTACAAGGGTAAAAAAATCAGACTACTAAATTAAACGAGCGCGCTCGCTAAATTCGACTCGACAACTAACGGTTATTTTCCCACAAACATACTTTTTCAAGCCCTTTTGTTTTGAAGGAAAATCTAAATTAGTATTATTTTTCAAATGCCATTGGAATTTTCATTTGTTGGCCTTCAAATGGGACATACTACCTTTAATTATTGGTATAATCACTAACTTCTTAAATTTGAAAAAGATAAAAGTCATTACCTATATTGACTTAGAATAAGTAAAAGTACATGTAGCAAAGTTTGACATAATTTACACCAAATAAAAAGTACATTGTTTTCAGAAGACAATAATAAACATTTAGTTAATACAGTCACTCATTTAAATGCCATGTAACTTGAATCAACTTTGACAACTTCAAATTAAGGGCTGTCATGAAAATGGCAAGAAAAAGTTCAGGAAATGCAAACGTTTATATACACTTAATGCAGGCTTGACTAATCAACTTATTTTTCATTGATTAATTCATTATATCATACCATTTCTTTTTATCCACAGAAAATTAGGTTGTACAAATTATGTTCAATAAATAAAAAACAGATTAAGGGATATATTTTTCCTTTTGTGACATTTTGTCATTATTTTTGTTAGACTGCTGAGAACATTTTTCAAAATGATAATAATATATATATACCGACCATCTAAATTAGGTTTATATTCATGCTGATAATTAGGTTTAGGAGGATCAGGAGGTGGTTGACGTTGTTGAGGTTGTTGAGGTTGATGATATTCAATTTGATGATGATTGCTTGTTCCACGCCAGCAGCATTCAATCGTCCCACAACACAGCATGAAGAAAAACCCATAGAGAGCCACTCCCCACATGATGAAGAAATTGTCAGCCAAATCTGCAAAATTAGAGAAGACTACAACTTTACTAAAATTAGAGATTTTTTATGAAATTACATAAAACAGTAAGTAAAAATTGGGGTTAAGAATTCATATTACTATAAAAAAATATATATAAAAAACATCCATTTCTAAAGATGATCTTTATAACTATACGACACTTTCATTATTTTTAGGCAAAAAAATGTGTCTATGATAAACAAAAAAATATAATATTCCAATATCATTTGTTTGCAGCCAGAAGGGTGTAACTCTTTTTAGAACTATTGTGTTAATGCTCCAGACAATATCGATTGCTGAAATGTTAAAATGTAAGAACACTTTTTGGTTCCTTTGTTTTTTTTTGTTTTTTTTAATTCATGGGTTGAAACATAAAATGCCAAAATTTCCTCAAGAGTAATATAATTGTGATTCATATTTCATCACATTCCATTTCAAAGTATAGTATTTTCATTTTTATCATCTTTATCATCATCATCATCATCGTTATAGTCAACTAGAAGGGAATGTACGCGTTGGCCTGTAATTCCCCCTTACTACGTCTGGCATTAATTGACAAAGATAATAAATGTACTCGTGTGCTTGCAGGAAGAGTCAGGGAAGGTCAAAATTAATGCTAATTCCACCAGAACTTGTCTATAAACCTTTTGAAATTTGCACTTTATCTTCAGGCGAGTTGCTCCAATGTTGGATGGTGTGAATACTGAAGAATTATTTATTATGTAACGTATATTGTGTTCTCTTAATATCTTTATATATCTTTCAGATATATATTTTTTGGATATAAAATCAATTTCAATGATAAATGTATCAAAATGTGGGGAAAATTAAGACTTTATATCCATACCAAACATTCAATGTGTAACATTAGAAAAACCAGAGAATTCATTTCACCCATTCATCATTCATGTTTTGTTATTTGTATAATCTTACTTACTTACAAGCTATTACTCTTAAAAAAAAAAACAGGCTTGTGAACTGGGGCCCGTTTCTCGGACCGTCATAAGTCTAACTTCTTGACTGATGCCTAGGTTACATTTAACTCGGACGTCGGCTGATGTACCCGACTCAGCCGACCGGTGAACAAGAGAAAGGGGGAGGGGGGAGGAGGGGAGGGGGGGGGAGAGCATTTTGTTTTTTGTGTGTGCAATTAGTCAGAAAATATTAAGCAGCGATTCATCCAGCAGGTGAATGAGCGGGGGGGGGGGGGGGGTGATGGAGAGAAGAATCACTTATTTTGTTTTGGGAGGGGGGGATATAATTTTGTTGGGGGGGGGGGCGCTTTTGTTTTTGTGGATCCGCCACTGGTTCTCCCGAGGGCCCTGCAATCATATTACAACCCCGGCTCTAGCCAACCTACCTCATAAGCATTTACGGAATTTCTTCCTACCGGGTACCTATTCGCTATACACCTGGGATAGGTGGAGAGTGACAAAGGTAGAATACTGTCATGCCAAATGAAATTAGTGCCGTGGTAGGACTCGAACCGTGAACCCGGTGATTTACAATCAAGCAATCTATCCACTAGAATAGACCACAACACCTCTACAACACGCAACTATAGTCACGCTGGTAGAAATTTTGAGACAATCTAATGTAAAGAAGTCTTAATGCATTCCACCACTTTATAAGTCCATGGCTAAAGGTAAACCGTGGAAAACAAAACTCAAATCTTTAAAATAAGTCTCAGAAATGTACATTCAGCTCTTTGGCATTGGAAACATTAATCATTACAATATGTCTTAATTAATCTAAAACCAAGTATTAAAATATCGTGATATTCGAACGAAAATAAATATGATCCGTGATCTACCTTTAGATATGATGCAGATAAACTTACCTTAAGCTTTGAACAGCTCTAATAATTTTTAGACAACATTCTTTTATCAAAGCTGAAAAAGTATCAAAAGCAGTACCATGAACGCGTACTTATGCATACTGGAATATACTATTTAATATAAATAAAAAAAGGAAATTATATAGATTCCTCTGGTTTGGCAGAATCACTAGCTGATATGTTAGCTATGTATACAATCACATACTAATCTGAAAATATTTACCATGTGCATTCATATTTACATCACATATACGAATAATAAATCACGACAAATTATTTTTCACAGGACAAACGAACACTAAAAAGTTTCACATGTACTAGTTTTGTTCTTGGCCTCAACTCAATCGCTCTCCATTTATCATCTCAAAGACATATAAACCGAGACCGAACTACTTCAGCCAAAGGAAAAGTATGATTTTACGAACCAGATACATGCAAAGCCTCAAAAGTGCCTGGGCGTCAGCCACATTTATATACAACAATGTAACACGAAAATATTGCGAAATGTCACTGCATTTCTTTTTTAAAGATAAAGACCAGTTATGGTCATGCGATTGCATTGTGAAAGAAACGTCGTGGAATCGATCAGAAAAGGTTGATCATCTAGCATATATGTATTGGTGTGTACTGCAAGGTTCTGGAATCATCAAAATGATAAGAAACTTGGCCCAGTCTTCGTAAAGTTACAAGCACTGTACAGAGAAAGATGTATATGGGACTACGCACACGTGCGCGACACGTGTGTTTATCTCTCACACACCAATAGATAAACTAATTTACCAAATATATCAATTAGAAGGCGGTTTCCCGGCAAATTTGTTATCATCATGTATAAGTCGAAACATACTCTTTCACATGATTGGTAATAAGAACTTTCATTTTTTTTTTTAATTGGGGCGTTTCCAATACTGTTCTTTACCTTTAAATGACAGACATTACTCACATCTGTTTCCCTCATTACATATCGATCAGTGTAGGTGTTAAATCAATTCAGTAAACATGGATATGGTAGGCCTTTACAATGGAATGGTCCACTGATCATAAGTGGTACTATTAACATGTATGTATTTAGGCTCTCAGTCTTTTTTTAGTGACTGGGAATTCCCACTTACCTTTGACAGACAACCAGATTAAGATCGCCCAATGAAACATCGATCTAAATTGGCCGAGCGTTTGTATGGAGCAAATGTATGCCTAGTCCACCCCTGGACTGTTCTCGTTAATTGAGTGCACACCCCATTAGACTGTG